TGACCCAGGTTAGTTGAATCAGATATTTGAAAAAATTATATTTTGTGTATATTTTCTTCAAATTTTATCCATAGGACCTGTTTTGTCCCTATTCTCAAGAATCACTGATAGTTAAGTTAGATACTGTACAATACAATAAATGTACTTATTGTATTGTACAGTATCTAACTTAATATAAATTCTTAATTTTATGTTTGCTAGAAATGTATTTATTTGAAGTGGTTTTGGTGGGTAGATCACTCAGTGAAGTGTGCTAAAGTTCAAGAAGAAAACAGTGGTCATGTGGCCTACATGTGAAACTTGTACATGAACTTGCAAAATGATTGTTTACATATTTGGCATAAACTTTTAATTTTTTTATTACATTTAATAAAATGTAATAAAATTAACATCTGCTAATATTATTAGCAGATGTTATATTATTAATAATTATAATGATACTTGCCTCTGCTGTACATAACAGTGGCTTTAAGGTGCTTTTGAACCTAAAACTGTTTTGCATCAGATCCACCGGGAGTGTCTGTTACTCCCCAACAGCTGGATGGCATATATAAGTAATGGTTATTATAAAGACTTGTTGATCACAAGATGTCACTCTTGACTACAATTTTATAACAATGAATTTTGGAGATGTTGTTTCCCATCCTACTGACTGTATGATGACGATAACCTTTTTTTTTTTTTAATCTAGTTTCAGTGATAAAGCTTTTTAAATGTTGCTCTCAGTGCATGTATGTTATTCCTTTAGCAATTTTATGACTTATGAAGTTCAGCATACACTGGCATTCCTTGTTCTGCTTTCTTTCCATTCTGAGGAACAATTGACCCCAAATTCAAGTTAAATTTATACTCCAGGGAAACAAGTACTTAGGTAGTTACTTTTTTAAATGTATATGTATTGTTAGGGGTGTCAATTATTGTGTTAGTAGTTATTATAAAATCATGCAAACAAATAGATTATTTCTTGTTGTTTTAAGAAATTATTTTAAATTCATGGTAGTGTATTAAAAGATAACTATTTTCGAGGGGGCGGGGAGGGTTACACATTTTTACCAGATTCTAGTCATATTTCTTTTTTTATTATTTATAATTTATTCTGAAATTCAATTGTGAATCTCACTAAGCTCTAACAAATTAAGAACATTACGAACACCGATACTCACCAGGAATGCCACCGACATAAAGAGGATCTTTGGTCGAAGGGAAAGTAGAAGATGGTGGACCTATCTTGTAGTTGTCCAACGTGTCCACAGATAGTTGTACAACATTTTTTCTCTTGATTACTAGGAGAAAAAGGGAGGAAAGATTTGACGCTAAGTAATTACAGGCACATAAATAAACAAATACTTTTTCACTGAGCTACTTATATTTTTACCAATGCAGCAGCAGGTATCATAGCTTTCAGCTGAAAAAAAAAATTACCCTTTCTGGTAACAAAATGACTCCTCCATTTCAGATGAGTCAGCTTTACTGGTCTTAACTGAGCAAACAAAATGACTAAGGAAACTGCTGAGGCTACTAAAATCTGAACCTAAAGGGAAAAGCATCAAGGCCGGGATGAGCAGAGGTCATCTCTGCAAATTCATTTTGAGGAAATAAACTGATTCTAAAAATAAATTCTAGATTATTTTATGATAGAAGATGCTTTTAAACTTGTTCCTGACTACAAATCATGACTACAAATCCGTTAGTTATCAGCTAAAAATGATTATCATTGTTTGACATTTGTTATATTAAGAGTGAATGAAGTTATTGTAAGCAAATATACTGAATAACATAGCATCATATACAGAAGAAATAAGCATTTTCACCATTCAGCACAGTTCAAATAAAATAGTATTTTTGACATGTTGACTGGATCTGAGAATCTTTTGACCATGACTATTGTTCCAAAGCTTTATTCATAAATACAAGAAGACGGTAAAAAGTGACACCCTAGAATTAAATGTTGTCACACTGCATAAGTGTGCAAAAAATATATATTTTTCTCCTTAATCAATAAATATTTTCATTGTCCTCATTGTTGGCCTAAGTTAAAAACACATGACAGCATTATTTCACATTTGGTTCGATATTTGTATTGGGTATTAGTACAATTCTAAGTTTTGTTTCACCTGAAATTTTATGAAATATTCCATCGCATAAAGAGGTCTTTGGCTTCACTGATGTCATGTACTCTCCTTTCCCGTTGTTCACGTGTGCCACCACCTGCAAATAGAAACATATGCAAATGTCTCACTGTTAACCCCATATGAATAAAGTCAACTTTGATAACAAAGGTAGAATCAACTGACTTTGAAGCTACCGATTTTAAAACCAAGCCAACCTAATTTAGAGACGACCTAAAGAGATGTAAAGAGACGGGCAAGCATTTAAGACTGTTCTGTGGCAGCAGAAAGCATCTAAGTACTCTCACCTCTCCTCCAAGCATATAGATGCTGAGAAAGTGGCCCATTGTGTTTACATGACTGGTGGAATCACCGACATGAAGCAGGAGTCCAGTCTGGCTGTGGGGACGTATGTTAAACAGCACCTCCAGGTCAGAACCAAAAACAAAGGAGTCATCTGAAATACAGAAAACAAATGCAGATAATGTGAGTTACAAAAAAAAAAAGTAATGGGGAGCAACTAATGAACAGAAAACTATTTTTTTTGAGTTTCCTAGTTTTTATATATTAAATAAAACATTTTTTTTAATATACTGAAATATGTCCCTAAAAGGTTTAAATCATAAGTAAAATTTAAAAAAAAAATCACCATCATCCAATTCACAGAGTACTATATAATTACAACGCTTCATGTGCTCAAGTGAAGCACCAATGGTGTTTTTATAAACCATAGATTAGAAATAAAAATGTGGTATTAAAAGAGCACAAAAGTGATGTACTTACTGATTATGACATGTGCTCCATTTCCTGCAAAATACACCCCTTTTTGTGTCGGCCCCTCAAAGCAGGGTCCTGCACCGTAGTTTGACGATGGGTTTAACATCAGTGCTCCATTCATCTTAAAATTACGCACACAGCCGGACACGCTTTGCTTTGGCAGAGCCTTTGACTGAAAGCAAAAGTAGTATTTATTTCACTAAATTAGCCGCAATTTTTCACCAGAAACGTTAACTGAATTTAGTTGTGTTTTGCTACCTTTAACTCTTTCTGAAGGGATTCTGGCGCACTGCCCAGGTATGCAGGCAGGAGGAACTGCTGCATAGACTTCAACTCAGAGTTAGTCAGCTGACCATCCTGAGCTTTGATCCCGTCTACAATCAACCGGAATTTCTTCTTTTCCAAACTGAACATGACCTACAGACAAATACATTCAACACATGCTTTGCTTTGCAAAATAGACTGAGTGATGCAGGGATGGCTGCTACGATGTAGCTGAAACCGGATATAAAACTGTAAGGAAAAAAAAAATACACAACTTTTTTGTCATTCTGCAAATCAGACTAAACATTTGCTGTTGTTTATCTAAAATTACTAAAATAATTTCTATTTCTTAAGAATAATGAGAGGATTTATAATCCAAATGACAATGGCATTATGGTTTTGCAAGCTTCTGGTGTGAAATCAGATCTGCACTGCTGTAAAGGAACATCTCAAAAACACAGGTTTCTTTTGTGAATTTATGGGGAAAAAATCTGCTGAGCTATTAGGAGGAATAAATGCCATTTTTTAAACCTTGACTCTACCACATTCATTTTCAAAGCTACACTTTACACATGTATAAACACAACGGGAATGTCCAGCCATGGTAGTATTTAGGTATGAGGCAGGTTCTGTTTTTCAGAAATTAATGTTTGTTTCCAAATGTGAGCATCAACATCTGAGAAAAGGAAGGGGCTCTGCTAAATTGTTGGCTGAAGTTGCATTGGTAAGCGAATGTAATCATTTGTAGTGAAATACCAACAGGAGCTGAAAGGCCAATCAGAGAGGAATGACATCATCACACTAAAACCGACATAGACAGACAGAATGCTATTTTAAATGCTGAAGTAGACACAAATGATTTTTTTCAAAACATGTCTAAATTGGCCATTATCACCATCCCCTTACAGAAAAATCCCATAAATTTTACTTGCAAAAATCACACGAGTAAATTATGTACCACATGTGAAGTGATGAGTCACATGAAAAACGACGATTTTGAGAAGTTTCAAGGAAACCCACCCCGCCCACAAAAAACAAAACATGTGATTCCTATTTTTTCACATGGGTTTCACATATTTCTACATATGATACACATGTGTATAACATATTTCCACATGTTTACATGTGAGAAAATTTGAGAGCAGAGCACAGAAAAAAGCTTGTGAGAAGGAGATCCTAAGGGATCAACCAATACTAAACAGTTTCAAAGACAATTCTACCTACTACTAAGAAAATGTAGCATGTAGACTTTCCAAGCTTATTATTCCGACATTTGGCAAATGCAAATAATTTTAGTAATCCTACCTGACCTAAAACAGAAAAGATTACAACTGATTTGATTTCACCCATGTAGAGAGAGGTAAGTGTCTTTTTTTTGCAGTTAGATGTAAACATCAGGTTTCAGCTATAAACACACAGAGGCTTGTATACAGTGATGTATATTTACTGACCGAATGCCACTTTCCATCGTTGTACTTCTCTCTGTTGAATATCTCCCTCTGTTTTCCCACAGAGAGTCTGATCCTGCCCTTAGACATGTACAACGCCAGATGAGACTGCCCTCCTCTGGTCGCTGCAAAGAATAGCAGACCTTCAGGAGACCGAGTTCTGACATCCAGAGAGAAGTGAGGCCTGGATAGGATAAAACAAAAACAAACAAAAAAAAAAACTATATTCTCAATTACAGCTCTGGTTTTTATTGGTATTCATAGATGTGAGATCATAAGGGAACTGGTCACTCACTTGGGTTGTAAGACCTGTAATGGTAGGCTGTAGCTCAAGCTGCTCACAGGCCCTCCCATGCGATAAGCATGTTGAAGCTTGGCTGGGAATTCGCAGACTGAGGCGCTTTCATTTATTATTTGCTTCTCACTGTCCTGAAAAGCAGCACAAAAACAAAAAAAAGGAGAAGACTCTTAATACAAGTTGATATTTGAATTCCTATCAGCTGCAGGTCTCTGGATGGCTCCCGCCCTGCTGGGAAATAAGGCAGCATGCTTTTTGAGTTGCAAAAATTATCACAAGCATGGGTTCTATCAAATGTGAAGCTTTTGTGACTTTAGATTTAGATTTTTATTTTTTATAATAGGCCTGCTTTGTCTGTTTTATTACTAGGCTGTGTTTTTATTTCTAAAAGGAACAACTGCTATTTTTTTAAATCTTAAATTTCAGAAAACATTTTCCCAAAACTAAATAATTTTAATTGGAAATTCCAGGCTTGGATCTGGGCATTATAATAAATCCCAGTTAACTCACTTCACAATAAAAATCAGGCTAATGGGAACTTTCTTTTTATTCCCCTGTAGCATGTATTTAAAAGGGCTTGCTTTCAGCCATGAAGGTTATATTTATCTGATTTTGGCTCAAATTAAAGAAGTGCATCAAACGACATGCTGTTGATTGATGTTTTTAGTAGGCCAAATACGGTGGAAGTTCTTTGTTTTTACGCATTTAATGAATTTTAAAATATATTCATTTTTGCCTATGACCTGCACATTATTATTCAGTGAATAACTGGCCAATTGGCTAGTGCAAGTTTATTTTTTTTTAAAAACCCTAAAATTCAGATTTTATTTGTCATCCACTCACCAAGTTAAGTCATGATAGGAATTAGTTGGACACTGTCCTTTGGAGGCAAACTGTGTTTATTTACATTCATAGTTTTGAATTTGAATGGTTTTCATCAGTGAATGTACTCAGTTCCTTTATCACCAACTCACTAGAATTGATTGTACCAATCTAGCTCATGTTCTAATAAAAATAAAAGCAAACACAGATATGAGCCCATGTCCCCTTATTTTACTGTGACACCTATTTCTTCCCACTTTCGTATAAAGCTTCATAAGAATTAACTTTTTCACTCCTAAACTTTGTATTACCTGATTTTTTCATTTGCTTCACCATGTGTAGCGTGAAAGTGGCAGCATATTATAGTACTTCCGTGACCCCGCATGCAGCTGAGAATTCATTATTTACGTCATTCAATTATTGTGAATCAAGGTTAATATATGGCTCCAAACCAAAATACCATATTGTTTACAGTGAGAATGAGCAAGCAAGGACAAGGGTGATTAGTGGAATCAATTTGTTGTAGATTTGATTTTAAAAAAGAAAAAAAAAGAAAATCCAGAGGTGACAGTAAAGAAAAGCCTACATATTTTTACCTCAAGGTGAGGCTTATGTGAGTAATCCTCTTGCTTCTTCTCAAGGTCTCTCTTTTTTTTTTAGTGGATATTTAATGTATTCTTATGTAAATTAATACTTCCAATCATTCAGTTTTAGGACTATTGTGTGAATTATGTTGTAATCATCTCTTTCCTTCCTTCCTCTCTAGATTTTTGGGATCTAAAAACATCTTTAAAATGTGCAGATTTAACCATTTGCAACGTTAAAGGACTTTCACTGCCTCTCCAATTATTTTAATGCAAGCAAAAAATGACCAACTGGATAGTTGCTCAAAACCTTTGCAGGAATAGTTGTCTTGAAATCTTGGGGCTAACTCAGTTCAAATAAAAAAGTCAAAGTCTGATGTTCTACTGCAAACTAAAAAGTTGAAAATGCCTTTCGCACTTTTTAACCTCATGTCTACATGACCATACACAACATACTCACACTTCACCCCTAACATTTCAGCCGATGCTGCTCAGTGTGCTTGCACTTGATTACTGCAACACATCTCTTTGGAGAATTTCTTTTCCTCCGGATATTTCTGTGAATTTGCACTCTTTAACAGGTGTCTCTGCTTCACCTTGTCTTCTTAAGCTAAACTGCTCAGCATACATCATTCACACATTCAGCCGGAAATGCAACTTCATGATTATTTATTATTCACACAGATGGAAGAGTGTTAGAAAAAGGTGATTAAAAAGTGATGGAAGCGGCTGCTAAAATCAGCTGTGATTAGAGCACATTTTCTTTGATTATATAATCAAGCATGATTTAATGTGTCATTAGTGAATTAAAAACAAGGTGCTTGTGAATCACTTAGAAGGATTACATGGAAGAAAGCGAAGAGACGTGTTCCTTTCAGGGTTATTATTCACAATATAGATGGTGAACACAAATAGGAAGGACAAAGGATGAAGTACAATACATTTTGTTGTTTGGCATGGGTACTGAAGCATTCATACACATTTTTTTTTCATTGTGTAGAATACACAGTAAATAAATGAGCTTGTGCATATGCTAGAGGAAATCATAGGGGTACAGCAGTCAGTGTTAGATTCATGTCGTCATCTGCAGGTTTTGGTCTCCTTCTTCTTCATCTCTAGAAAATGAGGCAGCACAATTTAATACAGATAATGTCAAGTTGATAAAAGTGGCAGTAAGAGGAAAATGTAATTAGATTTGATTTCCTTCATAAGAGAGGAAGCAAGCATTAGGTCACAAGTTATTGGGTAACATCATGATATCCTCAGAGGAAAAACAAACAGATTAAACGAAAAAACACATTATTCTTGAGAAAATGTAAAATTATGTAAGTGCATAACATCAACATTTTGAAAGCGTTCTCTCTCTGCGGCTGTAGACATATATTGAATTATTTTACTGCACAAAAACCTTTTAAGCTGAAATATGTCATATGAATGTCTGATTTTTTTTTTTCCTACCCCACCCTAACAGACTATACCAGAAACTCAGATTCCCATCAATCCAAGATTTCAACAATGACCCACATGTTATACCCATGTGCTTTGCAGTAGCAATGCTGGTCAGAACTGGAGCACATGTGGCAAGCTCTTACCCGAACAAAGCTAATTTCAGTCATTCATCACTGTGGTGAGTTACCAGCTGACTGAACTTTTCATGGAACGCTTGAGAATCCCTTCATTGGTTGCCCATTTACGAAATCCCCGTACTTAGCATGCCTCCAAGTGTCAAAGTGCTACCAAAACCTCGTAATTATCCATTCATTGAAGCCAGGTGTGCAGCAACAGATGCTGGACACTGAGCCCCGAGGACGAGGGTTGGGGAACTCTGATTTATACCCTTTAGTTTTGGAATAATTAAGTATTTTACTAAGGACTACTTTCTGATCTGGAGTTCAGGTGTGCATAGATGTCAAACCTCACCTTTTTGTTGAAGCGGAGTTGAAAGGGATTGCTGGCAGTGCACACATCTATCTGGACGTCTCCTGTAGCCTGGAAGTCATATAGGTTTTCAGGCTTGAACTCGTTTGACCTGCAAAACACAAACAAATCAGATTGAGATCACACCTTGGAGGAAACACGGTACAACAAACCAAACCACATAAATTTAACTCTTAAAGCTGAAGTAGATAACTTTTACAAAAATTATACTTTTTACATATTTGTTAAAAACTGTCATAATGTCATGACAGTATAATATGAGGCAGACAATCTGTGAAAACAATCAAGTTCCCCTGCCTCCTCCTTTTGGTCCTTATGCCATCTGCAGATATATAGCACTTGGCCAAAAACAACCAATCAGAGCAAGGAGGAGGGACTTAGCACTGTCCACCACCATCATCATGCTGCTCACATCCTCCCTCTTGCTCTCTGCTGCACAGAGCTGAATGCATAGGCTAGGAAACATGGCCACTATTGATGGTGGAGAAACAGCTTTTCTGTAGCAGTAAGTTGTTTCTCTGCCATTAGCATGGCTGCAGCAAACCAGTAATCTTGAACCGTACACAAATGTGATTGACTGCGCTAAGACCCTCTACCTAGATCTGATTGCCTGTATCAGTCTGGTAGCGGCGTATTTCAGCAGAAATCAATAGGACCACTGGGAAGAAGCAAAGGAAGTAAATTTGTTCACAAACTATCTGTCTCATGTTACACTGTCACGACATAGTGGCAGTTTTAGCAAATATGTAAAAAGCATTTTTATTAAAGTTGCCTACTGCAACTTTAGTAGACACAGAAAGAAAGAAAAATTACCGTCGACTGTAAAAGTTGGAAATGCAGCCTTTGAAATTCTCTTTTCCAAGCCAAATAGAGCCCTGTGTGTCAGGTATGGACATGGTGCCACTCTCTTGCTGACCATAGTCTTCATCATCAATCTGCACTGCAATCCTTAAGAAAAAGAAAAAAACAACAAACATTTGTAGCAAAAATTATTTAAAATTTAATATTTTCCTGATTTGGATTAAATGTTATTTTATTTTTGGTTTTGAAATAGTAAGCCTAAATAATCACAGTTGTAACTGAACAACTACACACCTTCCAGTAAGCATTACTTGGTTTCTTATTACATTCCTAGAACACGTGAAACAAATTGTTATTTCATACCTTCCTCCTTTTTTGGAGACGGTCACATAGTGCCAGTTCCCGTCATTGTACTGTTTGCTTGATTTCCATTTAATGGTGTCAACGTGCAGAATCACGTAGCCATTTTCCATTGCAATGTTTAACTGGTTTCCCTGGAGGATAAAACCACAATAAAGATTTTACTTCTTTTTGCATAAGCATATTAGAAAAGGTGGTTATAAAGTAGAGAGGTAAATGTACCTGTTTTTTGTTCTGCAATATAAGGCCCTGGCTCTCTGTGCTCTTGAATCCGAGGGACACCACTACGTCGTTTTCCAAGCTGAAGTCTTGGAGGTCTGCTTTCAGGGAGCTCCTCAAGTTGAACTGTGCTTTGTACGAACTCTAAACAGAGGGCATGACACATGTGAAGATACGTGAAAAAAGCTTTCAGATAAGTCTATCTATGATTACAGTAGCATAATATCAAACTGAAAATAAAAATCCAAATGTTAATTTCATCAGATAAAGTTTAAGACGAAAAAAAGTAAAATTAGAGTTGCCTTCATTCAGCCTTCCTTTCTCGATAGATGCATGCAAAGACAACTGAAACCAGCCACTTTAGTGCCACATCTTTTAATATGGTTTCATGTAAATCTATGAGTTTTGTTGTAATCATTAGTAATATTTTTTATATATTGTTTTATATTTCATTTTAACCGTACAGTGGATGGCAGAGTAAACAATTGTATTCGACATTAAAGCTGATTTACTTGGGGATTTTTTAAAAAAATGTATACTTTGTGAATCTAATTAGAATGTCCAGGAACAATAAGTAAATATTTGACTTGTCATTCAAATAAAGCTGACATGTATTGCTAACCAGAGGTCAGGGATTGGCTTCTCAAAAAGCTGTTTGGCTAAACTTGCCCATATTTACAGCAGGAACAATAATTAGAAAAAAAAAAAAAACTAACTGGCTGAGAACTTCATCTTTCCTCATCATACAGAGAGCAGGGTTGTAAAAAAAAGATCAACAAATCTCCGAAGCTCCCCGATAGACAACTGCTGCAAAGTGTGGCCTCAAATTTGAAACTCTCTGGGACAATTACTGTATACATCTTCATGCCAGCTAAGAAAAAAGTATTCCTGTCCACCCCCACAAAAGAAATCATCATCATTAATAGAAATAAAAGCTCTGAAACATCAGGCTGTGTGTAATTAATCTACTAGTATGTAATGCGTTTCAATTAGAGGCAGAGTTACTGAAATCAATTAGCTTTTCAATAATATTCTAATTTACTGAATGGACCTGTCCTCTTCCTCACAGTAATAACAATATTTCAGTTGGTCTGTGTAAATAAGGTGAAAGTCATACCAGTGAATCCTGCAAGCAGCCTTTGCTGATTCCCACTGGTTCATCAGGTGGTCTAAAATTGCTGTTTACCTTCAAATCTTTCAAACACCCCTTGTATGGTGGAGTGGTGATGTCCCACCTTTAATTAAACAAACAAAACAAAACAACAGGTTATATACAAGTCTCATTGAAACAGGATGGAAATACACAAATTAAAAAAAAAAAATGCTGATAAGGATGTACCTTTGTCTGATCTCTTGCGTTACACCACCAATATAGAAATCTTTAAAGTTGCTGAAATCGTATTCATTGAGGGAGGCCGTAAGTGGTGGGGAGCCTGCAATAATACTTACTTTCCCAGGCCTATAAACTAGCTTAAAATTCAAAAAATCAACTTGAGCCTAGAAAGAAAAGTGGAAAAGATACAAATAAATTGTTAATTCTGAAGGGAATAAAACTCAAAGGAAGAAAATCCAGAAGAAACAGAAAAAGAAGAAAATCTTCCTTACTGGGAACACTTTGACTGATCCTTTAATTGGTTCTGTGATCAAGTTACCTTGAATAGCAATGTAACCCTTCTCTACAACCACCATTAAGTACTTATTCTGTGTCACACAGGAGAAAAAAGAAGTTGTGGTAAACATTATTATACACTGGAATTTAATTATTAATTTAACTGAATGCTAAATGTATCAACATCACAAAGATCCTTTACCTCATCTCCTGTGAAGAAGAGTAAAGCATTTTCCACGCTAGTCTTGACACTTATGTCAATAGTTCTCGGCTGTTCGCTTATGGCCACTCTGCCATATCCGGTGCCTTCATAATAGTCTGAGTCGACTGGACTTACGGTTCTAGAAGGAACCAAGCAGCAGACAGGGAAAACCAAGCAATCAAATTCTGAAAATAACACATAGACTCACTGACATCAAAATGATACTTCAAATTTGTAGTCTCGGTACCTCTTGCAGGGAGTCTGGACATTGATCCTTTCTGCTTTTTGGAAATTGTAGAGACTCACGGCCTTCCTGTTAAAGGTGGAGAACTCGATGCAGCCCGTGTATTTTGGCAACCTCATAGAGAGAGGAGGCTAAAGTGAAACGGAGCACAAGAAAGCATTTCTGATGACTGTTCTGGACACAAAACCGTCTGTAAACTGAATGTTGGTAGATGTGCTACAGCTCCTCACAGTGAAGTTGGACGGGTAGCCTCCAACGTAGAAGACAACGTCATCAGGACTGAATTTCAGGAGGTTCTTGCTCTCCTCTCCTCTTTCGGACCGATGAAAGGTAGGCAGCTTATTAGGTGGCCCAGAGGTTATGTCTTTGGTCAGGTTTAGCTCCACATCTTGGTAAATTCTAAATCATGAGAAAGAAAGAAAATAAAGGACTTTGTGATTATTACATCTGCTCATCTTTCAACAAAAAAAAAAAAAAGAAAGATAACACTATAGTGGTATCTACATATCGCCACAGAGTTGACTTAAAATGGTTGGAGAACCGTAAAGTCTATGGAAGTGCTTTCTTCACATTACTGCTACAAATGTTAACATATGTAATTGGAAATGGACGCAAAAGACCAACATAAAGTCTCTCTGCACTCTACCCACAAACATCTCTGGACCTACGGCTTTTAGTGTCGGCACTGCACAGTGCTCCACGAAATTTAAAACTTGCTATACTACCTGACACTGGTTTGAACTTCTCCCTGGCTTTATCCCTGAACTATGTAGTGTGTACATAATGTTCATGATGCTGCTTATTTACTAATGATTTCAAATCCGTTGAGGTCTTCATGAAACACCTGGATTGATACTGAGATTACATTACAAACAGATTGGTTGTATTTACCTAATCAGTGAAGTCTGAATGGAATTGGCTGCGTTGAATTTCCATTTGGGTTATCAGAAGACAAACAAACTTTGGATTTTCAAGTTTAAATTTATAAAGATTTCTGGAAAACATTGATCATTTTCCTTGCACTTGTATGAACTTTGTGTTTGTCTGTCACATATATTTATAATAAAATGCAATAGAATTTGTGGCAAAAAGAAACTAAATGTTGAAGAGACACGGTGAGAGCTGAGCTGAAGTAAGGTAGCTCACCTGTGAAGATCCACTTTATCAAATGTGGCCGGCTGAGGGTTGGAGGTGGAAATCAAGTCAGACTCCAGCTCTTTCTCCTGTCCGTTCAGCTTGTACAGGGCATACAAGCGATTTTGCCTCAATACCATGCCTATGTAATTCTTTGAGGACTGCAGAACATAGTTTTGTTAGTCTCGTGAGCAAAATTACAATCTAAAAATCGCCGCGGATACTGATTCACTCACGTCTCTGTTGCCAAGGTACAACACAAACATGTCTGTAATGTCTCCAGTCTGTCTGCGCCTGCGTTTTCCGTCTCCTCTCCCTATGGGTCTCTGCAGCGACAGAGACAGGGTGGTGTAGGCCTTCAGGTCGTCTAGATTCTTCGGTGGGCGCAGCTCGATGTGACCCTCCCCGGAAAACTTCATGGGGATCGCAATCTGAAGAGGAGACGAGACAAGGCGTTATGCAGACATGTAGACCTCACCTTGATTCGTTACAGAAATAGATTGTGCTGCTCTGTGAGAAAGTATTTGCCCCCGTACAGATTTCTTTTTTTCCCCCCTTAAATGTCACACTAAATGATTCAAATTAATTTTGATATTGTAGAAGGATAACTTTAGTTAATAATAAAAAAAATAGTTTTAAAACTATTAATTCACAGGTTAAAAGAAGTAAATTATTCAAACCAACCTGACCCTACACAAGTAAGAAAATAATTCCCTCCATGACGTAATAAGTGGCTGCGCCATTCCCAGCAGCAACAAATGCCATCTTGTGATTGCAACAATTGCTAATGAGTGTTTCTGACTCTCTCTACTTTGCAAAATAGTTTTTTTTTTTTTTCCTTGTCAGCTACAGTTGAGGGTTTTGGAGGATGACGAGCCTTTTTAAGATCATGCCTTAAGTCTAGATTTGACTAGGACACTCCAAAACCTTCATTTGGTTTATTTTTGTGCCATTCAGAGCTTGGTTTCAGCTCAATGACATCCATGGTTCCATCAAATAAGAAAGGTTATTATGGCTACAAATTAACATCACACTACCACCGCCATGTTTGACCGTCAGACGTAGAGGGACACGCGCCTTTCAAAAAGCTCCACAGAAGAGTCCACAGAATATTTTCCTAAAAGTGTAAGGGTTCACCTAGATGTTGCTCTTTTCCCTCTTTGAAAAAAAAAAAGAATCATTTGAAAACTGTATTTATAAATTCTGTCTGGCATTAACACTTAATTGAAACAGCAAAGCAGAAACATAAGAAGTCGGACAGCGTTTAGAGGGATTGACTGCACGCACCTTGTCAGCTGCATCTCTGGCCTCCTCAATAAGTTCTTTGATCTTCATTATGTTTTCAGATATGTTACCGAGGCCTGAGAACCCGGAGGTCAGGTTTTCAACCTCAGAGATCTTATTGTTCAGCGACGGAATTGTTTTCAGCAAATCCTTTACTGCGTTTAAAAGGTGAGAGACAGAAAAGTTAAACGTGTAAAATAGTTTTACATGTTTATTCACACAGAAATATATTTAGTATGACCGTTATCAAGGCAAGGGAGAAGCACTTCATTACAAAAGAATCAGAAAACTCACCAGACTGGTCCACTTCACTAAGGTCAGTGCTTAGATTGGCATTAGCAGGAGACACATTGATCTTGTCGATCTCCTTCTTAATTTTATCGAGTTTGTCCATAGTCTCGGCGGCCGTGTTATTGGCTGAAGCTGCTTTCCTCTTGGCTTCCTCAATCATATCCCCAAT